AACCCCTCCTTTGTTAGCAGTTACAAGGCTGCCTGGGTGAGGGCCACACACTGCATGTGGAAGAACAGCCTCTGCAGCAGATGCTGTGCAAAGAACCCTCTTTTCCTCCCTTTTTTTGATATAATTTACCTGGCTCATCTCTATTACTGAGAATAGAAACCACATATAAATGTCAGCACAATGCAGCTAGGTTTTTAAAACAAAGTAATTAAGCAGCAGATGGAAGAATGAATCCACACAAAGGCAAAAGGCTTGCTGAGGATATGGCTAAGATTTTCTGGCAAGAGTCAGTGCCCGAGAAATGGGGATGCAAATGCCTCTCTGGTTGTTTGATGCTTGGAGGACACAGTTATCTGAAGCTGCACACCCCACTTGAGCTGGTCTCGGGCTCCTATATATTTTTAAAGGTAAAAATACATAAGCAGGTGCCTTAGACTGAGTAGAAATTTCATATTGGGAGGTATTTTCTGAGGGAAAAAAAACCCTGTTGAAAATGGCAATCACTATAGAAAATGACACTGAGAAAAGGCCAGTGATCTCTGACTGTCTGGCAAAGAGAGACATGCAACTGTCTCCAACAGGAATAAGCTCTGCCTGGATAAAAAGCAAGACTACTACAAGAAGAATATTTTCTGGAAACCTTATCTCTAGTTAATGAGCTCTGCCTCGTCAATCCTTCTGATTCCAGAGCTCCCCTGCACGCACTTCCTTACTTCTGCTCTGGGCTCTCAGGTGCTAGGCCAGAAACACCCATCCCATCAGCAGCTTTCCACATGCATCAGGCATCAGCCCAGTCTTCATTGCTTTTTTGCTTAAACACTTTAGAGAGATTCTGCCTGGAGCCACCTGAAAGCTTCAGAGTTGTTGAGCTCTCTTCCAAGGGCAAGTTGATTAAACCTTGTTACACCAAGACTATGATTACCACTGGCTGCTGATTTGTTCCACTCTGTGATGTGTAGTTTTGGTGACAGCCCTGAGAAGCCTAAATCAGCCATGTTTTATTATAAGGCATGCATTATAAGGCATGCTCTTCTACCATTTTGCTGCAGCAACTGCAGCTTGTAGAGTTGAGTGTCAGTCCTAAAAATCGAATTTATAAAGACCAGGGAATGTCATCAGCAGGTTGCATCCAGGGAATCACCAAAACAATTTGGCAATCTTCTATGCACTGCCTGACCTTGTAGGATGTCTGAAAAATCTTGTGTTAGCTATCTGTACATATATTAAATCCTAGTGCCAAGACACAAAAATTATGGGCTGGATAATACCCACACCAATGTGGATAACACCTATACCAATGCATTAAATTCTCCTGAAGCCTAACCACAGTCAGAACTACACTGACACAGCAATTTCTCCCTGTCTTTCCCAGGATTCCTCAACAGCACTTTCCTGCTCAGGCTGCCAGCAGTCCAACTGGCAGCATGGTATGTGCAAATTCACAGTGCTACATCTCACCCCTCTGGGTACCTGAAAAACAACCAAGAGAGAAATGTGTGCTCAGCTGTCAGCTAGAAGTATCACAGCAACTCAAGTGATGCTCGGGCAGGATGATGTAATTAGCACATTGGTATTTCTTACCCCAGTAAACTCTACCTGTCCCCTGTGCCAAGAGCAGTCAGTATGATAGATGCTATTAGGGGAGTGATGAAAAGCATGAAACAAACCTTAAAGACATAGAAAATTTGATGTCACAAAATGACAAAGCTCTTTGGCTCTCGTGCTTGTATTTTCCTGAGTAAGGCAGGATAACCACTTTTTTGGGGTATATTGCCTGCCCAGGATTATGCCAAAGAGAATCTCCAGGGAAGGCTTGTGACAGTCTTCCTGCAGATTTCCTCAGTATCTCAGCACAGCTGCTCCCATCCTGCCCTACTAGTCAAATTTCTTGCTGAGTTGTTACCAAGAGTGCTACTGCAGGCATTCCAGAAGTGGAGGAGTCCAGCTCATGGCACACACTGCACTTTCACCCCTTCCTCTCTGTGTCTCCCCATGACTGCACACAGCTAGCTCAGGTCCCACTAATGGAGAAAACAGCATTGGTCCTGGATGAGACAAAAGACCCACATCCTTTTCCTTTGAACAATGTGCAGTCGAGGTAGTCCCAGCTTTTTTCCATGTTTAGTACAATCTCCAAGACAGAGGAAAGTGTCTGTATTATATCAGGGAGGGACACTCCTGATCCCTTCTGTTGCTGTTAAAACATCACTTGGCTCTAGTTCCTTACTTTTTATGCTCAGCATAGCTCAAGGCTTCACTTTGCAGTTCTTGAAGTTTGTTCAGCTGTTTGTCATCCACAGTCTCCTCCCCTTCTGACAAGCAGCCATCTATCTTTCCTTCCTTATTGAGAAAAAACCTGTACTTCCCTCTCTTGCTTACTATCTTTTACTATCCTTATAAGTAATGACTTACAAGCAGGAAAATTATTCAAAACTGCAATGTTTATGAAGTCAGAGACAATCTGAAATTTTGAGATGATTTGAAGGAAGGTTAGATTTTATATTCAACACACCTGGGAGGAATAACCATTATCCATTTTTTGCTGCATCAGAAGCAAATGCAGATTTGTCTCCACCACACAAAAAAAATAGGTGATGCACGGCACTATACCTTGTGATCAGTGTCAGCCCAATGGATGCCCAGGACAGTGCAATAGTTGTTCTGCAAGGGGATTTTGAGGACAACTTTATTAATTTGTACCAGCAGAAATGGAAATGACATAGCTATTTTTCTTTCTTTGGAGATGAGATATACTAAAGAACATGTATGAAGATGAGTCCACTTCACTACATCACTAAAAAGGTTTTCAAATGTTTTGTGAAAGGTGTGGAAGCATCCAGGGGACACTGTGCACACAGCAGCAACTCACATGTATTTCAAGATGCTCAGCAAGCTTTGCTACCTTGCCTGTGATGAGTGGAAGGGAGCCTGAGACTCTTTTCTCCCCCAAAAGGATGCCAGCTCTAAAGGGTGGAGCTGGGAGAAGTGGAAACCGTTTGGCACACAGGTATGTGCATGTTCTGTGCAAAGGCAGGAGAACTCAGTCCTCTGATGGGAACTGCTGGACTGTGGACATTCCCTTGCTGAAACAGGTGTCTCAGAAATGCCACCTAGCCAGATGACAGCTGAATAATGCCTGGTGCCTCTCTTCCCTCCTGTCTGCCCACTGCTGAGCAGCTCCTTGTTTCAGCCTGGGATGGCAAGGAATGGGAGAAACTGCTTTCGAACTGTTTAATAACAGTGATGGTAACCTTTGACCTTACTGAATAGCAGCACTTTTGACCTTTCATTTGTTAAATAATGCAACCACTTACTTCCCAATTCTTATCAGTGTTTAATAATTGGGGTCAAGACAAAGGGAAGCAGAGTTACCCACCAGACTTTACTGAACCAGGAAGAATTTCCTTAAGCTATAGATATTCTTTTTGATAATCTTCAGTCAGGGCAGGCAAAGACTAGGTGGCTTGGAAGATCCATAACAGGCTAAAGAGCCTCTCAGCTGCTAGCATCTGGTTTGAATCCAGCTGTGGTTGACAGTGGCAGAAATTCATTATGATTTTGGGTTGCCTCTCTGACTCATGTGAAATGAGTCTGGCTTGCAGTTCCACTGCTCGCTGGACAATCGCAGCCCTAACATAAAATACTAACACACACTTCTAGAGAAATCAGTGATTAAATGAGTCTACAAAGCCTGAAAATTCCTATTGCATTGAGCAAATCAGGCACAGGTAGGTGGCAGCATGGACAAAAGTCTGCGGTCACTCCTGTGTGTTCTGCCTGATTCCCGTCAAAGAGAAGGTGGTTAATCTTCAGGAATCTGAGTTGCCTTTTGTACAGGGTAAGTAAAGCTAATGGGTCAGCTTTTGTGCTGTACAGCCCATTAAACATCTCACTTGACAAAAAATCAGGTGACAACTGTTACAGGCAGCGGTCCCAGGATCAGTGTTTTCCTTAGAAGTGAACAGGAAACAGATGAAAAAGAAAGAATTTATGACTTTACAATGGATTTAAATGTAAGTGCATGCACATATTTATTTATATAACACACATATAAAAGCTTAAATTTCCTGAAGACGTCAAACAGAAATTTTATTTGTCTAAGCAGCTGCACAATCTCATTACTTATTTATTGTATTTTGTGTTAAGCCAGACGGCAAGATTTTTAGGGCAGGAGCTGTTTCCTGGATGTCTGTGATTCAGCAAAATAAGCTGCCAAAGAGCAATCCAAATGCTGTAATTTATAAATAAGCCATTTATTTATAGAGGCACATGAGCTAGATAAGATCACAGAATCATGGAATGTTAAGGGATTGGAATGGACCTTAAAGATCATCTAGTCCCAACACCCTCTGCTATGGGCTGGGACACCTCCCACTAGACCAGGTTGCTCAAGACCTTACCCAACCTGGCTTTGAACACTGTCAGGAGTGGGGAATCCACAGCCTCCCTGGGCAACCTGTTCCACTGTCTCACCACGCTCACAGAATTTCTTCCTAATATATAACCTAAATTTCCTCTCTTTCAGTTTGTACTTGACACTCCTTATCCTATCACTCTGGCTCCAGATGAAGAGTCCCTCTCTGGCTTCCCTGCTAGAAGGTTAGTGGAAGGTTGCCATGAAATCTCCACAAAACCTTCTACTGAAAGCTGAAGAGTCCCAACTTTCTCAGCCTGTCTTCATCGGGGAGGTGCTTCAGCCCTCATCAATTTTATGTCCCTCCTCAGGATCTGCAAGAGTGACATTGTAAGCAGTGAGCTTCAGAGGAGCTTTTTTCCCTGTTGCCCATGTAAGAAATAAAGCAAATAGAGCCCTTTGTGGCATCCCGATGAAGACGCAAGGCAATCGCATGCCCGCCTACGTTTGGACGTAGTCCTCTCGCACCTGAGAAGCACAGCGCGGGCAGACACCCAGAACCGCACCCTCTCTGGGCTGGGGCTCACCAGCGTCTCCGCGCCCCGGACGAGGCGGGCTGACGCGGCCCCTGGCCCGCCGCGGCGGAAGCGGGGGTGAGCGGCGGCCGCGGTCTCCCGGCAACGCCCGGCAGCGCTATGGAGGCGCTGTCGCTGCCCGCGGCCCTGGCGCTGGTGGCCGGCGGCGGCGCGGGGCTCAGCCCGGAGCGGCGGGCGGCGCTGGGCGCCTCGCTGCCGCTGGTGCAGCGCGATTACCGCTTCGAGCGGGTCTGGTTCTGGGGCTGCATCCAGGGCTTGCGCGGCGCCTACTACATCGCCGAGGGGCTGGGTCCCGACCGCGCCGCGCCCCGCTGCCGCCTGTACAGGTGCGGGGCCGCCCCGGGGGCAGGGACGGGCCGTGCGAGTGGCGGCGTGCTGGCCGCACCTGGGGAGGGAGTCTCAGGGAATGCCCTCAGGGGCCTAGCGAAGTTGCTTCGAGCCCCGTTCTTTACCGGGCTCGGCCCTGAGTCGTGCTTGTCGTTGGCAGCTTGAACTGCTTGGACTGGAGCCTCCTGACGCCAGCCACCGAGGAGATGCTTGTGCTGGCTGAGCAGCTGAAGGGCCACTTTCAGGGGGATCCTTCTTTTGAGTACAGCTTGGCTGAGATAAACGCAGAAGCTGCTGCAAGACTGGTTCAAAGTGGTAAGGAGGTAAATCCAGCAAAACGTTTTTGAACTCTGTTCGCTCCATTTGTTCCACTCACACTGCACAGGTGTGAGGCTTCTCCTCGCTTGTAATGAACAGCATGAGCGTGTGGTCAGGCAAAGGACACACAATTTCCTCTTGGTTAGAGCAGAAGGCTTATAACACCAAGGTCGCAGTTTCAATCACTGTATGGACTGTAAACTTAAGAGTTGAATTTGATGATACTTATGGGTTGCTTCCAATTCAGAATGTTCTGTAACTCTGTAATCCCTCGCTGTCATTGTGTAGCAACAGCTTTTTGATCGATCTCTTACTTCAGTTTTTTCAGGAGTTCAATAGGCCTCAGAAATAGTAAATATCCCTTATGCTTTATTATGCATAACTGGTATACATCCTCACTGCAGTTTCTGAAGCTTTAATAGCAACTGCAGGCAGCATTCTTTATAAATTAATAAGTCATAAGTAGGTGAATAGAGGGGGGAGGAAAGAACAGATGAAGGGATAGATAGTTAGATCTCTGATGAGTCTACACTGTCTGCTCCTAACCATGTTTTCTGTCCTATCTTATGAAATGTCTTTTGAGATCCTCTTAGTGCCATTGGACTCCAAGACGATAAGTCCATTGTGTCACCTCAAGTTTATTTTCAGAAATGAAAACAAGGAAAGCCCTGCCTTTAAAATTCCCTATTTTTCTTTAAAGCCTGTGATCAAGGAGGAGGCCCGCCTCATAGCTACCATAGAACAGATAGACAGAGCAGTTGGTATCGTCCCCCGGGGCGCATTTGTGAAGACTCCTCTTGGGTCTGTGCATGAAAACAGATACTTTGAAGGTAAATTCTGATTGTCTTTATCAGGATCAACAGTACTTTGATCATAAAGGCTGTAAATTAAAATAACTCTAATCTCTAATTGATGTTTTGATTTCAGTTGAGTTTGTTTTTCCCCTTGGATAAGATGAACAGGGAGGAGAGAATCCAGTGCCACTAATATTCAGGTGTATGATTCAGCTCTGGAAGGTGGGGAAAGAGTCAGTAATAGTTCTGAGTCATTAAACTGAGTAATTTGTCTGTATAAACTGTATTTTATGGTAGTGTTTAGCAATTGTAAAAGTAGTGAATTGTCCATTTGTATATAGGATATGACCAAATGGGCGCAGACAGTCGTCCTCAAGTCAGTACCCATTGGTTATCTGGGGCTGCAGTCGGTATGGTCTGCAATGCCCAGCATCAGGGAGTGCTGACACCTGTTTCTGACAAGCCTTCTGTGGAGTCTGTTGGAGAAATACTGTGATTTTGTTCTGGGCTGTGGGCATTAGAGGCACTTGACAGTATAATGAATGTTACCCTAGTTCATCCATGTATGTATTAATGTTCAACAATGGCTATTCACAGGTCTGTCTTTGGTGGAGGCAAAAAAGTTAAGTTCCTATTTCCATTTCACTGAGCCTGCTAACCTGAAGAATAAAACCCTGCTGGAAAAGGCTGACCTGGACCCATCCACTGACTTTCTAGACTCTCTGGAGCATGATATTCCACGAGGTAAAGGTAGCAAAATCAAGAGATGCAACAAGAGGGAAGGCAATAGGGAAACTTGAGTAGCCTTGGAAACACTGAGGGGACTGGTGTGGGTTACTGTAGAGGTGGTATGAGAAGATTCTGTGAATCTGTAAAGGAACTTTATCCTTTACTAAATATTGTAGTTACTTCCTGTTTTAAGCAATTCTAAATGTTTAAAACGGAAATATGTAAGTGCACCAGGGTTGTCACATGCTCTCAACAGGTCTGGCCACACTCTGCTTCAGTGCCATATTCCCTCCTGACTTCTGTAAAGCCTGTGACAACTGGTGACCCTATGGGGAGAGATAACTCCACCAGTGATAGAGAGAATTTATGTGGTTTGAAGTATTTCACACCTCTTGTTCCACCCAGTATTTCTCTTCTTTATCTAAATGGGCTCTCATTAACACCAAGCTGATATCGCTAAGAGGCTGAATTCAAATGTTCCTTGGATAAACTGCCTTGGAATAGTCTGTACTGTGACAGGATGAAAAAAATACAGGCATACTGGATTGTATCTTCAGTTTACATTTCTACGGTTCTGCTGGACAGCTGCAAATATATTTAAAGTCTCTTCCGGGGATCCCTCTGGCAAAATATTTCTCTAAAGAGATGGGAGCGGCTTGTTATTTCTTTCTGTCTGGTTTTGCTGATTTGCTGCAATTTTTTGGATTGGACCAAGTGTTATCATGTCCTCTGTTTAGGGAGATTCTAGGGAAACCATTCAAACTTAGATTTTTTATTTATTCCTGTCCAGGAGTAGGAGGATAGGATACTAGGTGACCTATGTCAGATGGAATTGAGTGGATGGAGAGTGAATTGCCAGTGCTGTAAATGGCTTTTCAGATTCTCTTTCCCTCACTTCCTCTCTCTGCTTACCCCCTCTTCCCAGTTGCCCCTTTGGGAAAAAAAGAACTGGGAATGTGAGCTTCTGCCTGAATTCTGAACATTTTTGACAGAGCATAAACTGCTAAAATCTGAACCACTCTTCAGCTTACTGGGAGTGTCCTTATGCAGTCGTTTTCCAGAGGTGTAGTCTGGACAGACTGCACATTTTTACATACACTGGCTCATTGAGGTGGCTCTTTTGACTCAAAGCAGAATTGCAAGAGAGATTAGATCCTAGATATCTCCTAAGAAAATTTTAGATGCAGTTTTGTATGGTAGTTTGGGTTTTGCTACTGTTTGCCTTCCCGCTGTTCCCCCCCTCTTTTATCCTCCCTCCCTCATTGTAGGGAGACAGACCATGTGTTAAACATGAAATGATGGCTTTGGTAAAGTCTTCAGGTAAAATTCGACTTGTAGCTGTATTTTACGTGGTATCAGACAGAAAGTGGGGCTCAGCTCTGCCATTGTTGTGATTGTGTTCCTGTGGCATATCGATGTCTGTGTAAGCATGAACCCTTACCTCCTTCCCAGGTGGATGTTGCTGTTAGTGTAGATTTCAGTACCCTTAAAACAGTTGCCTCTGAAAGACTACCTGAGCTAAAGTGCAGCTGAGTGCTTCTTAATGTGAGAGAAGATTCTTCATGGTCTTGTGCAGCTCTGCCTGCTCTGTCCTGAATTTGGGGATGAGGTGAAGGAGGTGAGGGAAGTAAGACAGGAATTGGTTACAGGATCAGCAAGGCATGTAGCCTCTCTAATTGCATTCTATCACATGCAGATAGGAGCTATGACATTAAAGAAAGATCAACCCAGCCTCCTTTAACAAGCCTTCAGTTTGTCTAAAAGTACTGGTTGCTTGTGAAAATGTGGGGAAAAAAACAGGACACAGGCTTTCTGCTGATTTTATCAGCATGGCTTTGCCAGAGTCACTCCTGGTTGTGAGATACTCAAACTCTGGTTCTTAGATTACTTTCCTTGAGCTCTGACAATGCATGTTGGTCCTGATAGAGCAGAAAAAATAGAGAGTGCTTTTTCTTTACTGACATGTTGTTCATAGCTCTGGCAAATCCCCTCATTTTGACCCAAAGTTTTTCTTGCCTTTTGTGGTTAGATCCTGTCTTGAACAGTTATTGTCAGAGCAGAAGTAGGAATTCTCAAAATTATTGCATCTAGAATTGTGACTGATACTAGAATAGTCTCTTTTCTCAATAAATACATAAGAAGTGATCTAGGGGTAAGTGATAGTGGAGTGAAGCGCCCAGCTTGCATTGGCTAAATTCCCCTATCATCTTAAACGACCTAAAGAACAGAACTGAGAGATTAAGGGCTGATTTTAACCTGTCTAAAAGTAACAACTCTGTTAGAATAGTTTTCTCTATTAGAATAGTTTTCTCTATTAATTGGATACTTAGCATCTGTGATGGCTGTCAAGGGGGTAACTGTCATAAGATATATTGTGTGTCATTATAGGAGAGCAGAGGTGTCTTACAGAATGGAAAGCTGGAGGCAGAGAGAACATTTTATATGACAGCTGAGAGGTGGGAAGAAAGGAAGTTAAAATGGGGTTGAATAAAGGCAACAATGGTAAAAGCAGAGTTTAGTGCAAAATTGGAAAACCTGGAGTTTTGTAGCAAAACTGTCTGCCATTCTTATCTTTACCAGTGATATCTGTGGTGTTTGCAGGTTCCAGATTCTGTCTGTGTGTCTATCAGGTTATCTGTGCACTTTAAAAGTTCAGAATATGTTGCTGTTCCTCCTTAATAATTCTGGTGTCTCAGCTCCCACAGACAAGTGACTGGCTTATTTTTTTTTTTTTAATGCATTTAAAAAAATTATTCTAGAGAAAAGTGGGAAATGAATACCTTGTCTCGACAGCATGAACATGGAGGGGTTGTGATACAGGTCTTCTGTCACCACAGTATCAGATCATGTAATGCTTCATCCAGATCCAAATGGCCAGCTGGCCAGAACATTGCACGCTGGGATCTGTAGGTTTTGCTGGCCATATGTCTGCATTAAAGATAAGCTTGTTTGCTCTAGTCTAAGCAGACAATCTGCTCAACTTTATGCAGAATTAGATGTGGCCTTTCAGCTGCTGGCACATTGCCAGTGTTGTCCTTTCTGCTGCACGGAGTTTGGAACCCTGGACATAGTATTTCAGGAGCTAGGGCTGTGGTAGTTCCACATCTGCTTGTAGATAACGGAATAGCAAAGCAAATAGCAATAATTCCTAGCATGCCTACAGCATTTTCACTTGATGACTTAATGTTGTGAAGATATGAACTAATAGACACATTTCAGGCACTGGTAATAATGGGGGAAGTGAAAATAGAGGTGGAAGGTTGATTTCACTGTGACCCTGGTATCAGATCAGACTATGCCCCATTCTGCAAGGACAAAGAAAGGGCATCAGTGAAAGCCTGAGGTAGGAGTGTAGACTAGAAAGTTTGGAAGGAAGCAAGACAAGGGATGGAGAATTCAGTTCTTTGGCACTTTCAAACTGCAATTCAGAAAAGCAATAACTTGACTCTGAGGGTTTGTTGCAGATTACTGAATCAGATCACTTTGATATGGAGATAAGGCATACCAACAGAGCACTGCTAAAAACTGATGTAGGAGGGGAGGTATGTCCAGATAGGAAAAGATACGAGTGGAAGTAGGATTTATATGAGAAAACTTTCTTCAAAAGTCATGACCCCCTGTCAGTAAATAGCTGCCTTTGGTTGAAAACCTACCACAGTTCACTTCTGGATTAAGAGTAGAAATTAGAATTTTAAAAAGGACATATAAAAGGAAATGCAGAAGATTTGGTATGATTAATGATTGATATAAATTGGAATTTATAATGACTAGAGAATGAAAAAGGGAGGCAGAATAACTGGAGTAGTCTGTGACAATGGTAAGGCAGGTATTTTTTTAAACTGTACTGAGAAGGAAAGAAAGCATAGTAAAGGTACTGGAAACTGTCACTAAATGGTGATGGTAAAAATGCTGTTAAGCATGTGGAAAGGCAGAAGAGCTCAATTTTTTTCTGGTTTCTTTTTGGAAAGAATATGGACTTGCATCAAGCAAAGACAACAAAATACTGTTTCAGACAGTTTTCAGACAGTTTGCTAAGAGAAGGTAGAGTTAAATAACATTTACCATGTATCAAAAACATTAAAATGGCAGAGTCAGATAAATTATTTCTGAAATTATTATCTCAGGAGACTTGTGGCATAATAATCTTTAATAAATCCTGGCATTGCAAAACTATTCCCCTAAATTTAATCTTTCTTAGCAGTTGTGATTCAGAATTCAGTGAATGGGTGTATTTCTGGGAGAGGTCAGAAAGGGACCAGTGCCAATATTGATATTCTTCAACTTATTTATAAATTATCTAAAAATAAAGAGGTTGGTGGAGAGACAAATAATGATAAGGGCAGGATGGATACAGACATCTGGAAAACTGGGCTTACTTAAATACAGTACATTTTGGTGTACATACCTGCAAAGTCACATGAGGAAAGTAAGGACTGTAAGTCAGACTTTGGGAATTATATTCTAGAAACTGTGGCTCTGAAAGGAAATCCAGGCACAACTCACTGAACATCAGTTCCCAGGCTGATTCTGAGACTTAAAAGGGTAACTTGATCTGCAGATACATAAACGAGGGTGTAGCAGCTAGGAACAGGGGGGTGACTTTACTTTTGCATATACTGTTAGTGGAATCATAACTCGATTACTGCACACTGAAAAACTGAAGAGTTGCAGAAAAGAGCCACAAACTGATTCAAGGGCTGGTGAGAGACATAAACAGTTCAATCTGTTTATCTGTTTATCACAGGAAAAGCCTGTGAGAATGGCTGTATTACACTGTGTAAATACTCGGTGGAGTTTAAGTATTAGGTACTGAAGATCTATTTATTATAGCAGAGAAAGGCATAACAGGAAGCTAAAAATTGTAGCCAGAACTAAAATTAACAATGAGATACAATTTCTAAGAGTGAAAAGATTACCAGTTAGCAAGGGTAATGGATGAGCCTATGTCTCTTGGTATCTTAACATCATGCTGGATGTCTTCCTGGGAATTGTGTTTCAGTCAAATGCAAAGACAA